CAAGGGACTGGCTCGGCCAGTGATGGCTCAGGCGCCCCAAGGAGGACTAGTCACACCTGCCCTGTCCACTACAGAGTGAGGAGACTGGAGGTAAGGAAAGCAGCAGCTCGCCCAGGGCCAGATTTGTGTGGGCACCCCAGGTCCACTGCTCAGTCCTGCTCTCTTACAAATCTTCCTCCTTTGCCCATGACCACCTTGCACCACTGCCTGCGTGATCCACTTCAGGTCTGGCTGGATCTCAGCATCTTAGCTAATCATTCTGCAGTTGCACGGGGACACATGGAAGCCTGCCCACCCACAGTGAGCAGGACACACACCGTGCCCTCGGTGGGCATCTGCTGAATGGTGGAGTGGGGCACACAGTGGACTCAGGATGACCTTGCTTCCTGCTTCCTCTCACCCTTAGGCAGAAGCTCATTCCACTGAAGCCAGGTTCATCCCAGAACGAACAGCCATCTACCCAAATGTACAGCCAGCGACTGCACCAGCCAGTGCTGAGAGGATGGGACTGAGCCAGGAGGGAGGCACTGTATTGGAGGCGGGATGCCCAGGCAGAGCCGATTGGGCAGCGTGAGACCTGGCTCAGTGCCCATTCCCCCTGTCCCCCCTCTGCGGTACAGCCTCCCATGTCCTCTGCTCTCTACCTTGAAGCTGCCCCTTGGAGGGCTGGTGTGTGAACAGTCTGCTTCTGACCCAAATCATGCAAATGAGCATGGCCTCCCAGTTCTCAGGAGTTAACAGTGCAAAAACTATACCCTGCCCTGGCCTTCTAGCCCCCAGAAGGAACTCACAGGGTCTTCCAATTGGTCTGGTGGGGGCTTCTGGAGAAAGGTTCAGAGCCAGCAGGGTCTGTGGACAAATGAAAGACTTCCGGCAGCAGCAGGGACACCCGGGGCAGTGTTCAGGCCTCTCCTGGCCTCACTTGGTCAGTCACTATCAGTACTGAGGACTGTCAGCACACTCAGAAAGCTAGGTGACGGGCGGTCTGCGAGAAGCATGGATGGGGTGTGGCCCAGAGCACAGACAAGCTACCCTGGAATGCCCCTGGCTGTGGAAGAGCTTGCATCTTTGGACAAGAACCAACTTACTCCAGCTGAGATACGTTACACGCAGGGCCTCGCGGGACAAAAGCACGAGCGCCCCCACTCCCTGCAGGAGCCCCGTGGGCTGGGAACGCGCGTCAGTCGGGGGCTTGGACACTGGGCCCAGCTGGGGCTGGGGGGAGGCAGCCATCAGTCATCCAGCCCTCCTTGCCTTTCTTCGCCCCCTATTTTTTTTTTAAGAGGGAGTTTTGCTATAGGGTGCATGTCCTCGCTAGAGAGACAGAGAGAAACAGAGACAGGGGAGATGGTCATGCCACAATCGCTCCATTCTCCTCTTGGGATTTTGAGCACACATGTACATGCGGCCGGTGTGAGTTTCAAGCCACTGGGTCCGGGACACGAACCGCAGTTGACTACGTGGAAGTCCAGCGACATAGCCATTACGCTAACTGCTGGTTCCCTCCCCGGGTGCACGCTTAAAACAGTAAGCACGTGTACAGCTTAAGCCCGCCACACAGCAAACAATACCGATGGTCAGTTTACAAAAACGTGACACCTGCAGCAGGGAGGCATCCCTGAGTGAGTGCAGCTGACAGTCAAGGCTCCCCGCTGCCCAGGAGCTGCCCGGTACAGCCTCTGCCTCAGACAGACACTAAGCTGCTGGTCCAGCAAGAGCGAACTCAGAGAATGATCTAATGTTGATGGCTTGTCCTGTTCATTCTTCGGATATGAACGAACTAGTCACCAATGGCACACCACTAGGCTTACTCTGAGGGGCGACGAGAAAAGCTGTACGGGACGAGTATCCCTAATACACAGTGCTTGTGACCAGAAGTGTTTAGGATTTGGGATTTCCTGAGTCTGAGATATAAGTTTGTGCGCGATGTGGTACGCTGGATGGAACCCAAGTCAAAAGTGAAACCACGGTGGGAACCAGCAGTTAGCGTAATGGCTATGTCGCTGGACTCCCACGTAGTCGACCACGGTTTGCGTCCCGGACCCGGTGGCTTAAACTCACGCCAGGCGCGTGTGCGTGTGTGCCCAAGATCCTGAGAGGGGAATGGAGGAGAAGGGATTGCGGCGTGGCCATGCTCCCTGGGGGGTGATTTCTCGCTTTCTGTCTCTCTGTCTCTCTCTGTCTTTCTGGTGAGCACACGTGTCCTATAGCAAAAATCTCTCAAAAAAACCAAAACAAAAACAAAATGGGGAGGCCTACCTAATCTAGAAGACTGACTAGCCAATCAGCCTCCTGAAGTCAGCAACTTAGACACCACCTGAGAATTCACGCAGTTGAACCTGGGGGGGGCGTAGAGGGCTTGGGATGCTGACAGCACTCATAAATCGGCATACCTAGCTGGGAAAGGTCCAACTTGGTCCAGTGCATGCCCGCCGGGCAGCTCTTGGACAGCGTCCTGATGAACACCTGGCCCCGGCTGTCCAAGGCCCACAGTGCGTCCTGGCAGGCAGGGTAGGCCCTCATCTCGGCCTCAGGGGGCAGCTGTACCGTGGAGGGGCGCGACTGTGCGCTCCCTGACGCTGTACAGGTCCTTGCTGCTCTGACACAGCCACAGAGAGCTTCCTGTGGGAAAGGAAAGCCCCTGTCAGCACGTGCACCCACACCACCCATCACCCAGCCACAGGCCCTGACTCACCCCTGACACCTGCAGGCAGGAGCTGGCTTGCTTGCCCAAGGCTGTCGGGGGGAGGTACTTACGCTTCTAGTTAGAAGGGGAGGGAAACACCACAAGACAGAAGCCCAAGACATTTTGAGGAAGTGGGGAAAAGCAGGGCTTAGAGGTGTGGAGGCTGTAATGTAGGCATGGCAGCTCTGAGCTCGTTTAAAATGGGCTGGGAGGTCTCTAGCTTGAACGAACGCACAAGAGCATTACATACAGAACGTCAATCCCACTACGAGGATGGGCCCTTCCTCCAGTCCTCTCGCTGATCTGGTGCTTCTGGTTATGGGCTGCTGGAGGAGGCTGAGAAGCTGGGAGTCCTTCCTTTCCCATCCTCACCTCAAAATTATATCCTTTCATTCCCTTCACCATTTTCATAGTCCTCTGCTGTTCAAAATGCAGGTGGTCCTTGGGGAAGTTAAAACCTTGGTCATAGCATACTATCTAAAGCTTATGACCAGACATTTTTGGAATTCAAACTGTTCTCTTGATTGTGAAAACCTAAGTAAGAGGTGTGCCCTAGCAGGCTGGACAGCTCCCCCAGCGACGTGCAACCAGATTCCTGCAGCCACACGTGTGCGCAGGCTGAAGCAGGACTGTGACTAGCCTCATATCAGCCTGGGCCAGGTACTATTCCAACTCCGGAGACTTAGCGCTTCAGAGATTCCTGGATTGCACAACTGTGGTCAGAATGACCTGGCTTACGTAAGCAATGTTATACTGACCAAGTCACCCACATGATGGGACAGAGGGACTGAATTAACCAAACCTCTTCCTCTAAACCAGACTTCATGGTGTCTTCTCAAACCCTCAGAGCAATTCTGGGAGGAGACTGGGTCCCCAGAGAGGTCACCTAACTGCCCAGGATGGTCAGCTCCCAAGCAGAGGGGCTGCCTCCCCTAGGCTCGGTAAGGGGTCAGTCAGTGGGAGGGGCACCCCCAGGCCAGGCTCACCGATGGGCTGTGGATATGGACTACGGCTGGCCAGTGGTTACAAGATGGGCCGAGGCTGCCAGGAGCGGCAGAAGGCTTCAAGGGGAGGGGAGGGAGGAAGGTGTCCAGGCAGCACAGCTCTGTGATGCGCCCCAGAAGGGAGTGGTTTGGGCCCTTGTGGACATACTAGACGCCCCTGAGTCTGCCTCAGTCAGACTCAGTTTCAGCACATGTCACCCTCTCAGTGGCTCTCCTGGGCAGGCCTGTCCAGCCGCGGGGCAACAGCTTAGCCAATAGGGCGACTAGCTCTGGACACCAGCACATCCTCTGCCTCAGAGGTTGCGCAGTTGCATGGTATCGCCATGTAGGCCACGTCAGGACATAGTCTGAAGCTCTTCACCTGCTATCCTGTACACCAGATTTCTCAACTATGCTGCGGCGTGGCCATGCTCCCTGGGGGGTGATTTCTCGCTTTCTGTCTCTCTGTCTCTCTCTGTCTTTCTGGTGAGCACACGTGTCCTATAGCAAAAATCTCTCAAAAAAACCAAAACAAAAACAAAATGGGGAGGCCTACCTAATCTAGAAGACTGACTAGCCAATCAGCCTCCTGAAGTCAGCAACTTAGACACCACCTGAGAATTCACGCAGTTGAACCTGGGGGGGGCGTAGAGGGCTTGGGATGCTGACAGCACTCATAAATCGGCATACCTAGCTGGGAAAGGTCCAACTTGGTCCAGTGCATGCCCGCCGGGCAGCTCTTGGACAGCGTCCTGATGAACACCTGGCCCCGGCTGTCCAAGGCCCACAGTGCGTCCTGGCAGGCAGTGTAGGCCCTCATCTCGGCCTCAGGGGGCAGCTGTACCGTGGAGGGGCGCGACTGTGCGCTCCGGGCGCTGACGCTGTACAGGTCCTTGCTGCTCTGACACAGCCACAGAGAGCTTCCTGTGGGAAAGGCGCACCCCTGTCAGCACGTGCACCCACACCACCCATCACCCAGCCACAGGCCCTGACTCACCCCTGACACCTGCAGGCAGGAGCTGGCTTGCTTGCCCAAGGCTGTCGGGGGGAGGTACTTACGCTTCTAGTTAGAAGGGGAGGGAAACACCACAAGACAGAAGCCCAAGACATTTTGAGGAAGTGGGGAAAAGCAGGGCTTAGAGGTGTGGAGGCTGTAATGTAGGCATGGCAGCTCTGAGCTCGTTTAAAATGGGCTGGGAGGTCTCTAGCTTGAACGAACGCACAAGAGCATTACATACAGAACGTCAATCCCACTACGAGGATGGGCCCTTCCTCCAGTCCTCTCGCTGATCTGGTGCTTCTGGTTATGGGCTGCTGGAGGAGGCTGAGAAGCTGGGAGTCCTTCCTTTCCCATCCTCACCTCAAAATTATATCCTTTCATTCCCTTCACCATTTTCATAGTCCTCTGCTGTTCAAAATGCAGGTGGTCCTTGGGGAAGTTAAAACCTTGGTCATAGCATACTATCTAAAGCTTATGACCAGACATTTTTGGAATTCAAACTGTTCTCTTGATTGTGAAAACCTAAGTAAGAGGTGTGCCCTAGCAGGCTGGACAGCTCCCCCAGCGACGTGCAACCAGATTCCTGCAGCCACACGTGTGCGCAGGCTGAAGCAGGACTGTGACTAGCCTCATATCAGCCTGGGCCAGGTACTATTCCAACTCCGGAGACTTAGCGCTTCAGAGATTCCTGGATTGCACAACTGTGGTCAGAATGACCTGGCTTACGTAAGCAATGTTATACTGACCAAGTCACCCACATGATGGGACAGAGGGACTGAATTAACCAAACCTCTTCCTCTAAACCAGACTTCATGGTGTCTTCTCAAACCCTCAGAGCAATTCTGGGAGGAGACTGGGTCCCCAGAGAGGTCACCTAACTGCCCAGGATGGTCAGCTCCCAAGCAGAGGGGCTGCCTCCCCTAGGCTCGGTAAGGGGTCAGTCAGTGGGAGGGGCACCCCCAGGCCAGGCTCACCGATGGGCTGTGGATATGGACTACGGCTGGCCAGTGGTTACAAGATGGGCCGAGGCTGCCAGGAGCGGCAGAAGGCTTCAAGGGGAGGGGAGGGAGGAAGGTGTCCAGGCAGCACAGCTCTGTGATGCGCCCCAGAAGGGAGTGGTTTGGGCCCTTGTGGACATACTAGACGCCCCTGAGTCTGCCTCAGTCAGACTCAGTTTCAGCACATGTCACCCTCTCAGTGGCTCTCCTGGGCAGGCCTGTCCAGCCGCGGGGCAACAGCTTAGCCAATAGGGCGACTAGCTCTGGACACCAGCACATCCTCTGCCTCAGAGGTTGCGCAGTTGCATGGTATCGCCATGTAGGCCACGTCAGGACATAGTCTGAAGCTCTTCACCTGCTATCCTGTACACCAGATTTCTCAACTATGCTGAGACTGACCAACCTTCCTTCGAGGGAGCAGCAGAAGCCAGCACAAAGGCCCACTTTGTCGCAGAAGCTGTCCCACGGGGAACAACATTATTCCAGTAAGTACCTGGAAAGAGTAAATAGGAAGTGCATTAAAACCAAGCCTAAACAGAAACTCTTCAGGGCACGACAACCGGCTCTACAACAACGTTCTACATGACAACCGGCCTCTGCAGCCAGTCGCTGAGTGTCTTCACATGAAGTGGCAGGGGGGGGC